AGGCGTTCCGATCAAGCCACCACGTCCAAGGAGAAACAGCCCCTTGACCAACCTCCAAAGAAGCGCGAGCTCGGAGCTCTGTCCGAGGATGACGAGTGTGACCTAGGGGAGGGAGCCCGGAAGCATCACAGATGCTCCTACATCGTGGGCGGCCCCCAAGGAGGGGACACGTCAGGCGAAAGGAAACGATGGGCTCGATCCTTGTACGTCGGGGAAATTACCCGGGTACCTGCAGAAAAGAAGATGAGAAGAGATCCGATCTACTTCACTAATGATGACCTACCACCCATGCCACCACCGCATAGGGACGCCTTAATGATTAAGGTGGAGATCAACGATACAATCATTCATCGAGTTCTAGTAGACAATGGAAGCTCGGTGAACGTAATGTATTATGACACATTCCAAGGTCTTGGTCTGAGCGGGGCGGATCTGAGTCCGGTAAGAACACCTTTATCCGGATTTACCGGGGACTCAATCGAATCGGAAGGAAGTGTGGTGTTGCCCGTGATGGTGGGTTCGGAACCCTGTGTAGCAAAGTTGAACCTTGAGTTCATTGTCGTACGTTTAACCTGTCCGCACAAAATCATCATGGGAAGACCCGCGTTGGAGGACTTGAGATGCATTATCTCTCAGGAGCATTTATGTATGAAGTTCCCCACCCCGAACGGGGTCGGGATAGCTCGGGGAGATCAAAGGATGGCCCGGAGTTGTTACATGAAGGCGTGCAAACAACTCGGACAAAAGGACCTTAGGATCCACACTATCAACAGCAAAGCCATGAAGTATGAGGATGGCCAGCTCCGCGCTGAACCCACCTCCGAGGTTGAAGAAGTTCATATCGATCCCGGGCACCCGGAGCGAAAGATCAAAATCGGGTTAGGGCTCCCAGCCAGGATGAGAGAGAAGATCATCCAAGTGTTGGTCACATTCAGCGTGATCTTCGCATGGGGCCCTGAGGATATGCCGGGGTTGGACCGGAGTGTGGCCGTTCACAGGCTAGCGGTCGACCCGACGGTGAAGCTGATCCAGCAGAAGAGAAGACACCTCTCGGTGGAACGAAGGGATTTCGTGAAGAAGGAGGTGGCTATGCTCTTGGCTATTAAACACATCAAGGAAGTATTATACCCAGAATGGTTGGCAAACGTGGTCCTGACACCGAAGCCCCCGACTTGGAGAATGTGCGTCGATTACACAGACCTTAACAAAGCATGTCCGATGGACCCCTTCCCTTTACCTAACATAGACCAGCTAGTTGACGGGACAGCCGGGTGCGAACTCCTTAGCTTCATGGACGCATTCCGGGGGTATCATCAGATATCCATGCATGAAGATGATGCGGAGAAAACCTCTTTCATCACCCCGGAGGGGATCTTTTGCTATCTAGTCATGGCTTTCGGCTTGAAGAACTCTGGGGCGACGTACACGAGAATGGTTGCAAAAGTGTTTCGAACAGTGCTAGGAAGGAACATGGAAGCGTATGTAGATGATATGATCGTCAAGAGCGTACGAGCGACAGACCATACCGACGACTTAGCCGAAATTTCCAGGATCATGAGGGCAGTCCGGCTGCGCCTTAACCCAAAAAAGTGCATGTTTGCTGTCCAGGGCGGAAAATTTTTGGGGTACATGGTCACCCGGAGAGGGATAGAGCCGAACCCCGAAAAAGTGAGAGCAATCCTTGACATGGAACCTCCGAGGTCGGTGAAGGAAGTGCAGGTTCTCACTGGGCGGCTGGCATCACTAAGGCGTTTCATGTCAAAATCTGCGGAGAAGTCCCTACCTTTTTTCTGGGTTCTCAAGAAACAAAGTGGATTTGCGTGGACGGATGATTGCCAGCGGGCATTCGAGGACCTAAAGAAGTATCTTCTCTCTGAACCGTTGTTAAGCAAGCCGAGGAAAGGAGAAACACTGATATTGTATTTGGGAGTGTCGCAGGGTGCGATCAGCTCCGTGCTGGTCCGTGAGGAAGGCGGGATTCAGAACCCCGTATACTACGTAAGTAAAACCTTACAGAATGTGGAGCTGCGGTACACCCCGCTCGAGAAGACCATCTATGCTGCTTACATCACGGCGAAGAAATTGACCCATTACTTTCAAGCACACCCGATCAGAATCCTATCGGATCAACCCCTGGGCGCAGCATTGAGAACCCCGGGAACGACGTGGGTCGTGAAGTGGTCGATGCTTCTTAGTCAGTACGAGGTCGAATTTCAGCCCCGATCATCCATCAAAGGGCAGGCACTTGCGGATTTCATTGTGGAATGCACGGCGAGGGAAGTTACGGAAAGACAAAGAAATAGTGAAGAACAGTGGTGGACCCTAGCGACCGATGGATCGTCCGGGACGAAAGGTTGTGGGGGCGGGATCGTCTTGATCTCGCCTGAAGGGTTTCGAGCGTACTACGCTTACCGGTACCTGTTCAAAGTGTCCAATAATGAAGTTGAGTATGAAGCCCTGTTGTCGGGGCTACGGATAGTTGCGGCCATGCGAGCGGAATGCATAACGGTGAAGTGTGATTCTCGATTAGTCATATCCCAGGTGAAGGGCGATTTCGAGGCAAAGGAAGAAAGGATGGCGAAGTACAGGGATGCTGTTCAGGAATTACTCGGATTGTTTAGGCGAGCTGAGCTGGTTTGTGTGCCGCGGAGCCAGAACGGAAATGCTGACCTCTTATCACGTCTGTCCCAAGGAGTACCCGAACACATATCCAAGATTGCACAGGTTGAAGAAATGATAACTTCAAGCATAGCAGCTTCCCCCGCGGTAACCGTCCTTCCTCTACAAGAAGTAAATTGGAGCTGGGTGGACAATTTGCTACGTTACATAGCTGACGGGACCTTGCCCGAAAAGGAACAGGAAGCGAAGCTCGTCCAGCGACGGGCCCCGAGCTATGTCGTCCTGGACGGTAAGCTGTATAAACGGTCTTACAACGGAGCATTGTTGAAGTGTCTACGACCACACGAAGCTGAGATGATTGTCGCGGAGCTCCATGGCGGTGTTTGTTCGGCCCATCAAGGTGCATGCACCTTGGCCAGGAAAGTTGTCCTCCAAGGGTATTTCTGGCCCACAATTATGAAGGATTGTGCCGATTACGCAAGGAGGTGCGACACATGCCAAAAGTTTCAGAAGAGCCCCGGAAGGCCGGCAACGATGTACACGCATGTTAGCACTGCTCTACCATTCACTCGGTGGGGGTATAGATTTGGTTGGTCCCTTACCAAATGGGTCCGGAAATAGAAGGTTTGTCATCGTGGCCGTGGATTACTTCACGAAATGGGTGGAAGCAGAGCCGCTCGCTAGCATAACACATCTGCAATGCAAGAAGTTTATATGGAAGAATATCTTTTGTCGATTTGGAGTTCCTTTGCAAATTATTTCCGATAATGGAAGGCAGTTCGATTGCGAACCATTCAAGAAATTCTGCGCCGAATGGGGCGTGGAGTCAAGCCGAGTGTCCGTTTGCTATCCCCAGGCGAACGGGCAAGTGGAGAATACCAATCGAACGATTGTAGATGGCCTCCAAAAGAATTTGGAAGCTCTCGGGACAGTGTGGGTTGAAGAGCTGAGTAACGTGTTGTGGACATTCCGAACTACCCCCAGGAAGGCGACAGGCGAAACCCCTTTCGCTCTATGCTATGGCTTTGAGGCAAGGGCCCCGTTTGAGGCGGTGATTCCCAGTCGTCGGGTGGAAGAATTCGAGCCAACCAGCAACGAGGAGAGGCTCAGAGCTGAACTCCACCTCATAGAAGAAAGAAGAGACCGGGCATTCATTAGGGCTGAGAATTACCGTAGGCAAGTGAAGGCGTACCAAGATAGCAGGGCCGTGCCACGGAGCTTTGACGTGGGAGATTACGTGCTAAGGCGGAGGAAGGCAAGCAAACCCACGGAAGGGGGGAAGCTTTCCATCAAGTGGGAAGGCCCCTATGTCGTCGAAGGCGTGATTGGACCAGGGACTTACAAATTGAAGACTACGAAGGGGAAACTCATTGAGCGTGCATGGAACGCGGAGCATTTACTTAAGTTTTATCAGTAGTGATGTTTAATGATTAATCCTTCCATTGTTTTAATATGGTTGCTTTAATAAAAGTTCATTTGTTGTTCTCTATTTATTATTGAATTGACTGAGGTCCGACCTCACTTGGGAATGAACGGGCAGGGCAAAAAAAAAAACAAAGACAAAAACAAAAAACAAAAAAAAAATCACGCCCTGCTCTCGGTGTTTAGTCCATCACTGCTAGATCCTCGGAAAAGGAAATGATCGAACTATTTTCCAAGTCCAGGACTAGCTACTTGGTCAGGGCGACCGTTAGACCGGCCCCCGGGTCGAAAAGGTATGCGAGAGGTCGCGCCCCGAGCCGCTCTCGTACATCCGTTGTCCGACGTTGCTGTCTAAACAGCCCGTCCACTCATTTGATCTAATCGACGGTACACCAACTATATGACCGGCCCTGGGCCGAAGATATGCGAGAAGTCATACTCCGAGTCCTTCTCGCAAGTCCGTTGTCTGACGTTGCTAGGCTTAATAGCATGTGTACTCGTTTATTATGATCAATGGTGCGGGTCCCTTCTGGTCTGACCTTGAGGGCCTTGCCCTTATGTTTGGCTGACTTCCGTTCGACTCTCAGAAAAGGAAATCAGATTTTCCTAAGTATGAAACCAGTTGTACAAGTCAAGGTGCAGGACCGCCCTCCGGGCCGGAGGTATGCGGGGAGTCGTGCTCCGACCCCTTCTCGCACATCCGTCGTCTGACCACGGCCAAACAGCTTGCTCACCAGTTGGTCCTAGACCGATGGTGTGCGGGTCAGCCTCGCCTTACCAAGCGGGGCGCGGTCAAGGTTGGCCCAGCCGACCTTCCGCCCCTCGTGGTTTAGGTGGGGAGCCAGATCCCCGACTAGTTCCCCAAGTGGTCTCGAATCAAAAATGGTTAAATGAATAGAAAAGATGAACCATGACACGGGTGCAAAGTTGCGGAAAGAGGAAAGCTTATATGGCTAAGTGTGAGAATAAAAAAAAGACAAGTGCGGAATATAAAGTGGAATGTCCAACAAAAATGAGAATAAAGACGACAATATAAGAGATTCATATCTACGATCTAAGGATCAGGCATGTTCTCAGGAACACCATTGAGGATAGTCTCAAAATCAAAGCCATGAACGGCATCTTCCAAGTCATCTGGAATATCCAAGTGCAAAAGGGACAAATCGTTCGCTTGCTCGTTGGCCCCGTCAGGATCTGGCATGATTTCGGGCAAACCAAATTTTTCGGGATCGAAGTCGGGATAGAACTCTGCCAGCCTATTGTACAACGTGGTCTGCATGTCGTATCGGCCACACCTGAAGGACATGAGAATTTCCTTATCCCGCCAAAGTTGACCCTCCTCGGTTTTCAACCATGCTTGGACCTGCTCTGAGCGGTGAGCCTCCAGCTTCGAAATGATGATTTTTGAAAATTCCGGGGATGTTTGAAATGCCGCAACTGCCTGACGCCCCGCATCCGTGAACGATGCTTGCATTCGATCATACTTCGATTGTAGGAAGTCATATTTTGACTGGAGCTCGGACAGAGCAGCTGTTGCTTCGTCCGCCCGACGCTGAACGGCAACCGAGTGACGGTGAGCCTCGTCAGCCTGGTGCTGGAGCTCATCGCGACGATGACCTATTGTTTGAAGCGCGACGGCTGTGTCCATTAGCCCCTGCAGGAGACGTAGAATTAGTGAGGATTATAGTGACAATAATAATAAAAAAGGAAGAGTGAAACGTCAAATTACGGCATACCGCGCTGTAAGATTTGATAGAGCGCGCCATATCCAAAATCGATGAAGCACTGAGGGTAGGAGCTGGCTGGTTAACAGGAGGGGCCCCGTGTTGTTTTTCCACGATGAAAGGAATGACTTCGGTCCTCGAAGGCCGGAACCTGGCGTCCTCCTCTGCGGCCAGAGCAGCGAGCCTGCCCCGCATACCAGCAACCTCTGCAAGAAATAAACAGAGTAAAATGGATTAGTACCGGTTGAACTATTTCTCCGCTCCCGAATCAAAGAGGAGGATTCACACCTTTCTTCTTACCGGCTTGTTCCCCATGACGTGGGGGAACCCCGCTCTTCACCCCGACGTCTACCTCGGGCATGGTGGCGTCGGGCATGCCCCTACTTGCAACGGGTACCACGGACTGGGGGGCAACACCCTGCCCGCTCTTCACCCCGGCGTCTACCTCGGGCATGGTGGCGTCGGACACGCTCCTACTTGCATCAGGTACCACGGACTGGGGGGCAACACCCTGCGCCGTAACTAGGCCTGCTTAAAAAAAAAGAAGGAATAAATAATAAAAATAAACAAGAGGGGGGTGGAGTTATTTCAGCTGGGTCTTTCTCCTCTTGAATTAGAATGGAGTTCACACCTTTTCCGTCCATGGCAACCTGCTCTTCACGGAACGGGGAGGCCCCGCGCTTCTCCCCAAGATTGGGCGGACATAAATTCGCACCAGGCGCAGGAGGTGGGAGCATGGTCCCCAATGACACATTGGGGGCAGCAACTTCGTGTCTGTTGCCTGCCACATATGAAAATATTAGCAAATTAAGGGATGATCTCATATGGTATCTGTGACCTGCTGGGACAGAAGATTTACCTATATACGAATTAATCGGGAAAGGGCCCCCTTGGAGCAAGGCCTTGACCTTCTCCTCAAGGTCAGGGGTGAGAGAGGCAGGCTTGTACTCGCGCATTGAAATACCCCAGGTGGACGTGACGGGTAGCGAGCGGGGAGCGGATGCCCATACCCATTTATTCGACCACTTCCTAGGTGGCTCTGGATACTGATCAAAGAGCTTGCGGTGCGGTAATTGGCAAAGTGACACGAACCCGCCGTCATCTGTCTTATTGTTAGGGCGGTTCCACCTAAAGCATGCGCGGAACAACGGTATGGATGGCCGGATACCAACGCCACTACAACGTGCGACAAAAGCAGCCGTAAACATATGTGCGGTTGGGGTCATCTGGCACGGCGATACCCCGATATGGGCAAGGAGTGCCACCAAGAATGGACATAAAGGCACCCGCATGCCCCGCGCGATAGATGCAATGTGAACCCCGAAGAACGAATCTGGAGGAGGGCTAGTGAGGCTACTCTCGGGATCTGGCAACATGAGGGTGCAATTGCTATCGACCAAACTTTTCGCCAACTTCAAATCTGCCTCCGTACTGGTGGAACGCAAACGTTCCCTCCAAGCGTTAGGATCTTCGACGCTATCCGATTCGCCATTTGATTTGGGGGAGCTATCCGACTGTGAGGCAATGTCCACTACAGGGGTGACGTTGTTGGAGGATGGCACGGACTGGTCATGTGGCCCCCCCGGAGCAGGCCGGAGATGTCCCTTAACGATCACGATCCGCGTAGCGGGTCTGTCCAACCGCGAGGAGGTGGTGACCTTTTCATGCATCAAAAAATTATCGGAGACCCCTTGATTTTTCCCTGATGCCCCGAATTCGGGCTGAGACGTTGCATTCACCCCGCTGGCTTGAATTTGTTTAACCGAGCCTCCACGCACGGACTCTTTCCCCACCTCGCCACGATGGGCTCGTGCAACCAAGTTCCCAGACTGTGGCAGTGCGTCCGCCTCGCCCGGGGGGTCTCGCGCAGATGATATTTGACCCGCTGGAGGTTGCTGGGACTGTTTGACAGACGGACGACGTTCACGGGTGGAGAGGGCACTATGATGAGCTCCGTGTCGTGAACTGTGTTGAGAACTTGTGCGTAGGCTTGGAACAGGCGGCGATGATGACTGTGAATCGCTGGGTTTTTTTCGACCGCCTGGGCTACGAGATCGCGACGACGAACAACGTCGTGAATGACCCTCCCTCCGGCGCGACGGAGAAGGGGAGCCGCTGCGTTTCCTTCGCCGGCTGGGGATGGAGCGACGCGGCGATGCCGTGGCTGCGGCTGGAACGGCTGAAGCTGAGGGGACCTGCATGGCTGAATTGCGCGTGGATGATCGAGGGTGTTAAGGCTAGGCCACACTCGGATTCAAGGAAATTAAAAGAATATGGAAAAAAAAGGAAGGGAATTATTAATTGGAATAGCTCCGGATTATTTTAGGAAGCTGGCCTGGGGTTTCTATGACAGAACGCGAAGGCTTGGACGAGATTCCAACCCTGGCTGCGGGGTACTTTATTGGTCGGGTGTGCGGTTAAAGCCCATGTATATCCGTCGCATGGTCAATATACGGCTACAGAAAAACAAGGCTCGTATTTTGGAACTTCAGGCCCAAATTATTGAAGCTGATGGGAAACGTTGCATACCGTCGCAAGCAGTAGGGAGCAAAGCAAAGGGGCCGATCAAGGCCCGCAAAAAATGGCCTCCCTACGGGCCAACGATTACGTTGACGAACACCCCAGACTCCTACAATGGAGGTGCGACTAGCCAGCCGATCCGATAGACGAACCGATCGTTGATCAACTTGACTACTCCCTTCTAGTCGAGTCTGCTACTCGACTAGGGGAGTGGGGGACTCGTGTTGGGATAATGGGCCAGGTCCAATACTATTGACCCAATATGTCTGGGCTCGGGCGCGAACCAGGCCCAGCACACGGTCCGGCTAGATAATATGGTCCTTGGATTGATTGGTTTAACTCTGGGGCCGACCAGCCCATTGGCCTTGTATCAGGCTTCTTGTTTTAGTTGTTTAATTGGGCCAAGCCCATTAGCATTTGACAAACCTCTTGTAAGCGCCTATAAATAGGCCGCCCCTCCTTTTGTATTGGATAAGTCACTTTTACTGTACTGAATTGCTGCCGAATTTTCTACTCAACATATTTTCTACCAACAGACGGAAAGTTTACTTTACAATGAAAAAATCTTTAAATTGTACATGTTCAATAGTTATAGGGCTAAATATGCAATCGAATATAGTTACAACATGATTAATAAAGGGCACAATAAAAACTTTGGAGGCAGATGTCTTGGATCAATATATAGGACGAGAGCATTCAGGTGGGAGGGAATTGTTGAACCTTTGTTTATCCCCGCAGTAGTCATAGGTGATGAAGTAATTTCTCACCCATTTGTACAGCCTTCTTTGGTACGATGTCAGGCTCTTAGCCCTGTCCTTATTCCACCAATATGAAGGTCCCCCTGCCCTACAATCCCTCTCATTGTTGCCCTTCCACACACAACCCTCTAGCTTGTAGTCCTTGAATGAAGCTATGAAGGGCGCCTTTGACCAGTCCACTTTGACTTTTCCGCCGCTAGTCGCCCAGCTACTGCCGTCCCATAGGCTGACGGTCAACCCCATCGGCTTCCACCCGGGATATGCCACCCCGTCATCTTCATGGTTTCTGAAGGTTCTTATGGGTATCCTATCCACCAAAAACCTGCATCATATTTTACAACTCGTTTAATGAGTAGTGAGTAGTGATTGAATTGCGGAACGGATGCAGTATTACGTATGCATTTTGTGAAATTTGTAAATTTGATAAAAGTATGTTTAAGGAAGAATATTTCAGTTGGTATACCGTATGACCGGTATACGGTGAGCACCGTATATCGCCATACGTTTTTGGCAAGCAAGATATTGAATTCATTGTTTTTTATTTCTCTTTTTTAAAAAATGCTAATAACTTTTTTATTTTTGATCCGAATTTTATAAAATTTATATCAACATTTTTTATTTTTCATGATCTTTCAAATGGGACCAATATTGCCTATGTAATTTTAACATATTAACATTTGCGTGTAAAATATGTAACTTTACGTGTTAAAATATGTAACGCACGTTCACTCAGGCCAAATGCAACTCGTGTGTATAAATATGTATCTCTACGTGTAACAATATGTAACTTTATGTAAAAAAATATGTAACTCGCGTGCATAAATATGTAACTTTACGTGTAAAAATATGTAACTTTACGTGTAAATATATGTAACTCACGTTCAGACATGTCAAATGCAACTCGTGTGTATATAATATGTAACTCGCTTATAAAAAGATGTAACTTGCTTATAAAAAGATGTAACTCGCTCATAAAAAGATGTAACTCAATGTATTATCGAATGTAACTGAGGCCACTGATCCACTCCCAAACAGATTCGATCTTCTATTTCACAAACCTATCATCTCTCAAACAGATTCGATTTTCCTTATAATCCAATACTCATTAATATAATTGTTCGATAATTTCTTAAAATTACATAAGCAATATTGGTTTCATTTGAAAGATCATGAAAAATAAAAAATGTTGATATAAATTTTATAAAAATCGGATCAAAAATAAAAAAGTTATTATCATTTTTTAACAACAAAAGCAAAAAGAAAAAAGAAATCAGGCATACTCCATCGTTTTGCAACTGGGCGCACCATCCTCATGGTACGCCGGTTGCACGGTATAATTTGTCAGAATATTTTCATATTATACTACCTCCGTAACACAAAGATCTTCCCATTTTGACTTTACACGGTATTCTAAGTTGAACTTTGACTTATCTACATATCTATATTTATAAAATTCATACGGAGTAATAAATTAACATTCAAATAATATGTTTTACAATGAGGTATATGAAATAGTTTTTTAATCATAACATAATGTGAGTTTTGAATGATTAATGGTCAAAGTTATAAAGTTTGACCTAAAAGAGTCAAACTGGGAAGATTCTAGGATTTCGGAGGTAGTAAATAATATTAACTACATATAATAAAGTATACTACTATCATTAGACAAGATCTACCATCATTAATAAAAAAACTAAAAATGGTGAGTTAGTTGTATAAGATGGAGGGACTAATTATTTTGAAGTGGTAATACCTCCTCCCTTATACTTTCTTCGTTCTTAAATAAATGCAACAGTCAACATTTCACACTTGTCGAGACACAACTTTGACCATTAATATAAATGTTTTTGAAAATTTACAATGAGACAAGTTTAACAATATTTTTGTCATAAAATAATATTTTTACATTAATAAATAAAACGTAGTCAAAGTAGAACATGTGAATAGTGTAAAAGTCAAAGTGTTGCATTTATTTAAGAAGGAATGTAGTATAATTTATTTAAGAACTGCAAATTTGCAAACATTTGACTTTTACGCAATCTACGATCGAGTTTGGTCATTTCTTGATCAACGTACCAACACAAATTTCATTGTGTACGATATTTTAAATTTATCCCAATCTAGAGTCGTTTGGTAACTTTGAGAATGGGCTTGGATGTTAGTTGTTTGTTTGGATACCTTATTTGATAATCCTATTTTTCGGTTTATCAAACAACGTTTTCATCAAACATGCGACTTTTGATTTCATGCGTTGAATTGTATAATAATCAAAATAAGTAGTGTTATAGATACTTTTCTAGCCGAATTGACTGAAGTTAGTCTAGAAAGTCACTTTAGCTATTTTTCATATAATTTTCCTTTCATTTTATTAATATAACATTTCTTATATTTTATATTTCATTTTTCATAAATCACCACGATCAGCTAATCCGGTCACTTCAGTTATAACTTTGTAAATTTCAGCATAATAAGTCAATTTGAATGTTGCCAAATGGACACCTAAAATGTCTAAATAACTTATACTACGTAGTAGTAATGCTTATATATATAGTGGTCAACTCAAAATAAAATTATAAAAAGGTACACTAAAATTAAGTTGGGAATATAATAATTGATGGAATAGGGTAGGTACATACACGACTTGGTAAAAGTTCCAGAAGATGGAATAGGTGTGGAAGTCTTGGGTTGGATCGAACCAGAGATTAACCCTTTGCTCCCTGCTCCCAGATCCGTTGGTATAAACATTGGTTTGAAGAATATATGGCTTTCCCTCTACATTCCCCAGGAATTCGAAGTCTAACTCATCACGGTTCGTAAACTGCTCGGTCGCTAACTGCATGCATCATCATTAATATAATCACCAACACATAAGAATTAATTAATTAATGAAGTGTGATCCATTAATTAGTCCAACTCAAATTCTCATTAATATACACTTTTCTCTTTATGACTCTCATACGTGACTCTAAAAACATGTACATAATATATACTACGTATAACATTTGAAAAATGCAACATAAACACGTACACTTAGGCGAGTTATTAAAAGTTAGTTAATTGCTTAAATATCTAAATAGCAGTGTTGAAGTAGTTTCTAGGGAAAAGTACGGAAAAGGTACATGTGGTTGTGCTCGTTTTCAGATAGGGTCATGTGTTTCATTCTTTATCAAAGTAGTTCATGTATTTGAATTCCGCTATCACAAGAGGGTCACGCCGTTAAAAACGTTTGAAAAAGACCGTTAAAGGTGACTCCGAACCACCTTCGTCTTTGGATTTTTCAGATCTGTTTGAATTATTTTTTAAAAATGATTTCACTAATATCATTTTTCGGATGTACTTTCCGGTGACAAGGGTGGCTGAAAACAAAAAAGAAAGATGGCCTAGAGGTCGTCTCATTGAGGCGCACCTTCCGGTATTTTTCTTTTAATTTTCGGGCACTTTCGAAAATCGGAGTTACTTTTAACGGTCTTTTTCGGACGTTTTTAACGGCGTGACCCTCTTGTGATAACGGAATTCAAACACATGAACCATTTTGATAAAGAATGAAACACATGACCCTATCTGAAAACGGGTTCAACCACAAGTACATTTTTCGTACTTTTCCCTAGTTTCTATTATTGTAGAATTAATTAGCATTAATTTTTAGTCAGTATGCTAATTGTATTAGTCAACTTATTTTTCTATAGATATACTCTCATGCCTACCGGTCTGATCATGTGTGTTTATTATACGTGAAATCAACATACGTGGTATATTATACTCGTATGTAATAGACTTACATAGAACGCGACGACAGTGCCAGCTGAATTCCCCGGAATCAATTTGATTTGCATGTCAAATTGACCAAACAAGAATGTATCATTGCTAGACATCACACTTCCTGAATAATAATAACAACATAGAAGAGAAATTAACCAAGATTAATTAATTAATACGATTAATTAGTACTTCAATATATCAAATTGAACATTAATAATTAGAGTTCTTCTTCAGAAATTATTACACGGCTAATTAAGTAGAATTGTATTCCTGTTATAGTGTTATGCCATAAAAATTTGTGAGCTTCAACTTTCTTACCAATAGTGAAATGGGACGGTTGTTTAGAAAATCATTCAATAAGGGAATTCGAGTATAGTTTGAGGAATATTTATATAAAATTACTTCAAATAGAACTAAAATTATGGTAAAAACTCAAAGTAGGATTTACTATGTTTTTCTTTTCAAAATAGGACCATATTAGTCCTATTGGAAACATACCTATTTTTTGATTCCATTCTTACCCTTCCTTTAAATATGAGTTAATTAAATGTTAAATTCATAATAAATTCGAACAAAATTCAAAAATTCGTAGAAAAATAAATAAAAAATTTATAAATTATTTATAAAATAAAAAATTAAAAATTATATTTTTTAAAAAAATTAATTTTTTTTTGAAAATTAATAAAAAATAGCAAAACTCCATTTAAAAAATTAAAAAAAATATGGATGCCTTTCCCACCGCCTCTACTACCTCCATGCACCTCCATCTTCGGACGGTGAAAAAAATGCCATTTTTCCTAAAAACTGCCATTTTTTCTGAAAATGCCAAAAACATGGCATATTTCTTTTTGAGAATGCCAACATTTCCATTGTTTTCTGCCATAAATATGACATTCATAATGAACTTGGCTTTTTTCCACTGGTGACTGGAGGTGGTGGTGCAGAGGCGGCAGAGGCGGCGGTGGATTTTTTTTTTAATTTTTGAGTTTTTTATTTTTTTTTTAATTTTTTTTTATTTTTTGAAAAAAACAAATAAATAAATTATTATTATAGAAATATTTTTATTAGTTTTTTAGTATTTTGTACGAATTATTATTATTTATTATTATTTTAATATGAATTAAAACATTTCAATAGTTGTAAGTGTATATTTGTCCAAGACACACATAATTAGTCCTATGAAAACATAGTTTACTTTTTGGTCCTATTTGTGCAAAGTGAGTGACTCTTAGTCCTATTTTGTTGATTAACCCAATATTAATCCATGAATATATAATGGGAGATTTCCCAAAATAGGAGTAAATGAAGTTTGAAATTTCAAAATAGGACTACTTTGTTTTTATTCCCAAAATGGGACTAACATGGCAGTATTTACTGTCATCTTGTAGCCGTGACTGCCAAATAGTTGCAGTACAGTGCATTTAACATGACAGTATTTATTATAATTAATGACAATATTTTTCAATCATGACAGTATTTTTCATACATGACAGTAATAACTCCTATTTCCGGAAGAAAAACATACTAGTCCTATTTTTGGAATTCCAAGTGTCATTTGCTCCTATTTTGGGTAATTTCCCATATATAATATATATAATGAGGTCATTAATAATAACTGTGATGGTATATATATACATGTATTAATTTTAATATTTTGATAACTAGATTGTCATTAAAGAGTACTAATTATTTTCTAAATAGAAATGTGAACTTAGATTTTAGATGAGATGTCATAAAGGTGAAAGTGAGATCCTTAAGTTGGGACAAAGAGAGTAATTTCTTAGAAAAAGTTTCCTAAATATGAGACATTGATATTGTCATACTTAATGGCTCATAATTAAGTGTGTAAACGAACCGAATCGAGACGAATAGTGAGATTTTGTATTTGTATTTGTTTAATTTTTTGAATACGAATTCGAATATGAAACAAATATTAATTTTGATTTGTATTTGTTTAACAATACGAATATTTAACGAATCATATACGAATATCGAATCGATTTCAGCATAGGTTAAATATTAGTCAAATATCACTTTAAAATAACTTTTCTTATATTTTTTATGTTTTAAATGCATGCTATGACTTAATATGTGTTTTTAGAATTTAAATTTAATGGATCAATGCATTTTTAGATTGTACACAATATACTAAAGTGAATCAATTTTATGATTAAAAAATATAAATCTATTTCAAACTTTTCGAAATAAACACTAACAGACACATATTAGAAATTATACTTATAATGTGTGAAATAAGTTGATAATTGTATATATCAAAGTCAAACGACTCTAATTTTAATTTATTCTTCAAATCGAATACTTAATTATTTGTATTGTATTGAAAGACTTTTGAAGTAAAAAATTGATTTGTATTCATATTTATATTATGATTTATCACAAATGTGTTTGGAATCTGCATGCATAAATGTATATATGGGCTACACTTCGATGGTCTTGCTATTTTTTAAAAGTTATTAGAGTGTTATTACTATTATTATTAATATTACCATTATTAATTAATCGAATATATTTGATTAATATTCGAATCGAATACAGTGATATTCTTATTTGTATTTGATAACAACTCGAATCAAATTTAATATTCTTGTCTGTATTTGTATTTGAATTTTCCGAATTTGAATTGTCTTATACGAATTCGAATCGCGAATCGATAAAAAATTATTTGATTCATTTACAACTCTACTAATAATGTCAATATATGACAATTTTATTTCAAAATGGTATTGTATTACTCTTATTTAGGGCAAAAACATGGTAGCCTTATTTTTTAAATTTCCCTAGTTTATTGTTAAACGTATCATCTAACTTGAAAATATTTGATCGTGAAACTAAAAAATGATGAAGTTTTGTGATAAGAGAGTAATAAATTAAAGAGAGAAATGTAGATCAGTCTCATAACTTTTGTATTGTAAGTCTACTTATTTGTATATGTGGTCATATAATTAATAAATCTGTTCACGTTAAGAATTTTATCACCAGAAAGCACGTACACTTTATGGGGTATTTTTTATGCCGAAAATGTCTTTTCAAATAGGTTTTGACGGAATGTGTACTTTTCGGTGGAAAATAAAAGTCCTTAAAATAGACAGATTTAGTAATTACATGACTAAACCTGCAAGTAACTAAAACTAAGGGAGTAATAACGGGAACACTCGAAAGTTACAAAACTACGATTGCAAATATTCCTAAAAATAAATAAATTCAGCATGTACCGGAGTGGCGGTCAAGTTTCAAGCTTCTTAATCGACCATCAGCGGAAGTATTAACATGATCAGGTGACCATGTCACTGAGAAGTCTTTGTTGAAATCTCCAGTTGAAACTGCAGATGATGTTAATGAAGCATGGAACAATAATAATGCACTAATAAATATGGAAATGCTTCCCATCTTTTTTCTTAATTAATTTGAAGATTAACAGCCAATGATCAGAAGGATTGATTTAATTTAGATGGAAGTTAATTGAAGGGTATGCGGTATATATATAGGTATTGAATTGGCTTAATTATTGCATGGGAATGACTTATGGGGTTGATCTAATCTAGGAGAAGAATAGAACCATAAAGAGAATTTTTGTTTAAGCAAGGATATCTTTAGAGGGAAGCAAATTAAAGGAATATTATCATGTAACTTAGATTTATCCTTATAATTATTATATGTCATTATTCCATTACCACGAGCTAGGAACTCCAAATTCAAGTCGTCTCTATTAAATGTAGTATACATTATGATTATGCTTCACAAAAGTTTTGCTTAACACGGTTTAACTTGACCAGGTTTTTAATTAATGAATATCCTCAGCCTGAATTAGCTAGTACTTTAGATATTTTAGGACCTGTTTAGTTGCATTTCAATTCTTGTGGTTTGAACTAGTTTAGTTTATTTGGGTTTAATTCATTACTCCCTCCGTAACACTCATATCTTCCCACTTTCCTTTTTAGCTGTAACACTCATATCTTCCCACTTTCCTTTTTAGCTGTAACACTCATATCTTCTCATTTCTAAATCTACATATCATACGCTCAATAATTTTAAAAATAATACACTATTACAACTACTTTTTTGGATTTATTCTTCATTCCAACACACTATTTCATTATCTTCTCATCATACCCTCAATAATTTATATTTCCTTTCAATATTCTTAATCTCACATGGGAAGATATATCTGTTAAGAAGGTAGTATATGGAATAATGATTGCCAAATTATTCGAATTGATTTATATGGAATGTGTTGTTTAAACATTTGTAGTTGAAAGTTGTGATTTATACCGTAAAAAAGGTATACCATATGCTTGTGATTTTGTAGTTAAAATCAGGCCCTCACACCCAAAATGGTGTTATATGAAGCCCCAAATAAAGAAAACCGGCCCAAGCGAAGCATTGAAGGCCTGAGGCAGTTAATCAGTAATCAACGGCCGTGGACCTCAGTTCGTCCATCCTCACCGGTAACCGCGAGTTGAACTGTCGAAGCAAACAAGTTCAGACCTGTTGCCACTCACGCCGGTCGCCGTTCTCCGCATTGCTGGAAAGCTCGGAATCGTCTGAATCGCCTCTGCAATTCTTTAATTCGCTTCGCAGACCGCAGTACCCTACTGTCCCGGGTCCGGCCCTGCGCGGCTTCTGCCTCCGCCCTAGCGTGCTCGCTGAGTTGCTGGTCTTCCGATTTTTCAGGTGTGTATTTTACTTTCAGTTTTTCTTTTTCTTATATTTTATTGAGTTCTGCTTTATACCTTTATTTCTGGAATTTGAGGGTTTTTTGGTTGTGAATTCTGAATACATCTTTAGTTCGATAAATTGTGATCTGTGATTTAATGTGAATATTGTGACTTGTTTGCATTCAGCTTATAGACATTTTGTTCCATACAAGTCAAATTGCAGTTCTGAATTGTGAATTATGAATTATGAAATCTGGAATATCCCTAGATTGCTCCCTAGATTGTTGTCGTGAATTAAACGAGTAAAACCTACAATCTGACTTTTTAGTATAAGAATATATGTTTCTGATTTTCACATATTTTCATTAGTTTTTGTTAGTATTAATTTATGAATGTCATATCTCTCCGACTTTTATGCATTGATGCTATTTTATATATTACATTTGCCCCCTGATGATATCCCAATGGAAAGAATGGAATAGTTGGAAGATAATTGATTTCATGGAAAATAATTACATAGTGTTTGAGAAGAAATTCATATGATTCAGAATTTAATTTGTGCCTCCATATGTTTGATAATATGAAGTACTAATTTTATCTTTTCATTCATAGTGCATTTTGTTCATGTGCTTTCTGAAGTTAAAAGATGCTTGTTGCATTGGAAAGAAACCATGTTAGCTTTGCCCTTGCCTGAGTTCTTTGAAAAATGCAGTTTACTGTACTTTCTAGTTTCTATATGCTTTCTTTCAACTCTAGGGCTATGTTTGAAACCTGGAAAATGGTATAGAAAGGGGGGCAGTGCTAAAGAAAATAGATTTTTTTCTTTTTAGAAGGTGCATAGGGAAATCAAACTATATTATAACTTTCAACATTTTACATGTATTTCGATTTCATAATCTATATACGCCTTCAGTTCCAAATTACTTGTCACATTTCAGTTTGCATAGAGTTTGAGAATGTTTTTACAGAAGTGAGAAAACTCACCTTTTGGGTGGGTGGTGCACATGTAGTTAATGGTAGGTAAAGTTCTACTCCGTATTATGTAGGTCCTTTACAAAAAACAGAAGTGAGACCAGATATATGAAATAGCGCAAAAAGAAAGGTGAGAAAAGTAATTTGGAATGGAAGGGGTGGTATATTTAAATAAATTTTAAAAATGTGTTCAAAGTTTCAAACATATATCACATTTCTTTCAGATATTCTCATCTTTCTCATCTTATTTTTTGTCTAGCAATCTAGCATTTTTGTGTTCCAAATGGACCCTAACAGCTTCATTTTCATTTCATTTTCATTTACCCCAGTGCCGCAAAGGCTCCCACCTACGGTGGACCCTAACAGCTTCATTTTCATTTCATTTTCATTTACCCCAGTGCCGCAAAGGCTCCAACCTAACAGCTTATGTTGATATATATGCATCTATGATCTAGACTCACTTTATATTTTATAACTTGTTACACAGAAACATAGTACTCTTCATCAATCATCATGTTCAAGCAATCTCCAACAAGCAGGAGCCATAGATCAAAAGGAATCAAGACCAAACATGTTCTACAAATTTGCCTGTTGCTTGCTGTTTGCTTCTGGCTGATTTATCAAGTAAAGCGCTCCTACGATAAAGGCAAAGAATTCGACGAAACCGATTCGGGCTTTTCACTGAAGTCAGGGAGCATATATGAAACAACAAAGTGGGGAAGGAAAAGTCTCCTTCCCCATTCATCAAACGGAATTACTACAACTAAACTCAAGCAAGATAATGACAGCCAAGATGAAGATGAAGACGCCAAGACTGAAGAAGTGGAGCCAGATCAAGACAACAAGTTCGAAGATGAAAATGATGAAGATAGAGGGGGTAGAGATGATGCTGTTGATGAACATGATCAAGAGAAATCTGATGAACAAGAAGATGAACTTGTTGACGTAGAAACTGATATGAAAAGTTCTGAAGAGAATACTGATCATGAGCTTGATGAAGAAGACTCAATGAGTACCCATGAGGCACTTTATAAAGCAGATGACGCTTCAAGTGCAGTCACCCATGATACCGGCTTGGAAGATGCAATTGGTCAAAATGTAACTATGTTAACAGATGATCACGAGACAAACCGTTCCCTAATCACGATAGGCCATGAGGCACTTTATAAAGCAGATGACACTTCAAGTGCAGTCACCCATGATACCGGCTTGGAAGATGCAATTGGTCAAAATGTAACTATGTTAACAGAAGATCACGAGACAAACCGTTCCCTAATCACGATAGGCCATGATGAAAGTGTCCCAGAGCATGTCTTATCCACCTCTATAAATACCTCACTGTTGAACAACACAAGACTGGTGGAATCAAACAGTCATCTTGAAGTGATAGTATCCTTGCCAAATTTGACAGAATCAAATATAAATTCCACCGTTGAGCGTAATAGTGTCATAGCTGGTGGGGAAGACTCATTGCCATTCACTTTTACACAGCAAATGAATGCATCTGTACAGATTGTTGAAACAACTCTATCTGATTCTAATATAACTTCCACAGGAAATGAGGGTTTTAACTCAACCTCAGAAATCTCCTCAACTGTCTCTACTATCACACCTTCTGCCTCAGGTGATACCACACCCGAAGATCATTCTGATACATCCATTCCCTTGGAAGAGAAAGAAGTTGGTATGGATTTGGAAACTCTTCCTCAGAAACAGACTGAAGGAAGTAACACAAAAGATGAAGCAGTAGAATGAAATTTGCCATAGATCAGTAAAAATGGTTCAGTTGAGGCTCAAGTTTATTTGGGTTCCTTTGTTTTGTGAGCATCCCAAGCTAAGAGTGTTCTTTAGTATGCAGCATTGGTAATTTTCGGGAAAGTATAATTACCAATTAGCATGAAAAATATAGGATAGTAGTAGTATGTTCTGCAAGAGTGGATCTTGTGGAATCATTTGTAGTTATAATAACACTTTCCTCTACTTTCGAGTTTGTTTACACTTGTGTCTTGATCTTAAAAATCTCAGCCTTTGCCATTACTATCTAAGATGATGGGCTAATGGGATGCTTCTACGGTTAAATCTTGTTGGGTAAAAAATTGACTTGTTGAATATATCTAATGCCTGTTTGGTATGCGGACTATGGGCAGCTTCCATTGAATACTGCACAAGGTATTTTTGCACTATTATTTATTATCAAAGCAGATCATGCAACCAGATACGTAACACTAACAGTTTGGTACAAATTTTGAATGTTAAGTTATGAAAAATGAGGATGTCAAAAGGCTTTAATAGAGATGTGTTTATCAGTTGAAAAGAAGCTTAAGTGTGACTTCCAACTTTCCAGTCACAAGTCTGCATTTGAATAAGTTCAAATATGAATCACTGAATTGCACAAACCTGAATAGCTAATACAGGGTTACAGATGGAACTGGTATCAGACCGGAACCGGGTAGCCGGGTAGGTCCAAGTGATTCCGGTTCTTCAAAAATACAACTGGACCGACCGGTTCCAATAAAAAAGAATAGGCTGAATATTGGACCTCAACTGTTATAAAACAAAGACCAATTCAGTTGATTAAAGTTGTGGTTAACCCCAACCCAAGTGGGCTTGGTCAGGACTCAGGAGGTTGACTGTGGACCAGTGTGCATAGGCCATCAAATCATGAGACAGTTGGCATTTTGGACGGGTGAGCCTATATGCATTGATAAACCGACAATGCACATAAGGTAGTCCGCTTTCAGTGGTTTGCTGGGGCATCCCTAATCTCAGGTAAGTCTCATGGCAGCAATCATGTAGCAATAGTATCCTACATCTTGATTTATTATTTGATGCTTAATCCATGTCATATACGTAGTAAATGTTTCTGTAACATCCTTTTCAAATCATGTTAGATAACTGGAGGGTCAATATATATGTCAACTTGAACCCAAATGGACTACTCAAGTACCAAGTGCAAGCAAAAGAAATACAATACAATTGGAGCAATTTGTAATCGAAAATGCTATTTGTATGGCAAAGTGTACACGCCATTATACACGTCGGTCAAATTATCTGTGTACGGACAATTTGACCGGCGTTTTGTGAAGGGAACCACTTTTCGCACTAACAAAAAAAAATTGTGTAAATAACCGGTTTTCTTCACAAAACGCCGATCAAACTGTCTGTTTTGACCGGTGTGTAAAATGCCTTTTACAATAGTGTGTACACGAAGCATTATTGATTTTTAATGCTCCTCCTTTTATCTTTGTCACATTTTATCTTTTCCATCCGTGCCACTAAATTTTATACTCCGTAATATTTAAGTGAATACAATTTATTTTTACTCTATTCACATTTTACCAAAATAAGATTAACCACATAATTTCATTTTTCTTGATAACTTCATCACTCTCTCTTATTCCAATGTTAAAGGGGCGGATATAGTACTATATAAATTTGTGATTTCATTCTAAATTGTTGACTCGACAAAAGTTCTAGCTTAGAATTCTATATTACCAGTAGTTTTATATTTATGATGTTTTTGATTGAACTCAAAATTTCAAATTTGATATAGACATATCCAATATGTTTAAAATTGATCTAATTTGAACTAGTCTTTTAAATCTAGTTGGTTCAAGTGTACTTACTCATATTTTATGTATTTCTATATTGCTCCAGTCTGATTAAATATGACCTCGAGTCCATTGAGTAACATTGAAGTTGGCTGAAATGACTGAATTGGCTTAATTAAGAAAAATTACATTTAAAATATATTTTATTAATAAAATAAAGAAAAACTTATATGAAAACAGAGAAAATGATCATCTACAGTAACTTCAGCTAAAAAAGTAACTTCAACCTTACTTATTTTTATTATTATACAATTCACTATACGAAATGAAAAAATTACGTGTTTGATTGATATGATTTATTAACGGAAAAACAAGGTTACCAAACACTCTCTAAATCTTTATGATCTGTGTAAGTCTGGCAAATACAATTTGATTTGGCATCATCTTAGACTGAAAACATCTCTAATCGATTAGACATATAATTTGTGAGGGGGCTTAGTGTGGGTGTCAATCGGCGATTTAAGAACCCTACATACTAATTTTTGGCCGCCAGCATATATTTTCTGCATTTCTTAGTTGGGGTCTACTGTTTTGGTGTATAAAACAGAACCGGCAAATCCCCGCTAAACTTAATTGAAAGTAAATAATCAGTAGGTTAAGAGTACATTTGGTAATTACTTGTATTATATCCGTTTTACAAGCCAAGTCTTTAATCAAATACGTATCCTACTTTTGATTTCAATGTGCTGAATTATGCACTAATCAAAATAAGTAAAACTAAATATGTTATTCTATCTGAATTGATTGAATTTTCTGAATAAAGACTATTTTACATATTTTCATATAATTTTTTATTTAATTCAACATATTTAGTCAATTCAAATATCATCAATTTCAACAAACTCAACTGCTTTAGTTCATTTGAATGTTACAAGATGGGTTCTAAATCAAACCCCCAATCATTTAGCACCTTGGTTTTTCTATACTTCGTTTTTACTATATATATATATATATATATATATATATATATATATATATATATATATATATATATATATTACTCCAGGAGGTCTAGGGAGCCTAGAGTAATCAAGGTTGAAACTCAGAGTTTCGAACTCGAGACCTCTCACTAGACACGGTCACCTCGCAACCAGTTGGGCTGGAACGGTAATGTGCATTAGGTGAAATTCAAATGTGCACCACAAAGGGTACGATACAATGACATTATGTGAAGCTGAGTTGTGCATTAGGTGAAATTAAAATGTGCACTTGGTGAAACTGAAATATGCAGAACAAAGGTACGATGTGATGTTATTTTTGTACATTTTATGACGCACATTTCAGTTTCACCTAATGCACACTTGAGTTTAAATTTTTATTCTGCACATTTCAATATCATGTTGTGCACATTTCAGTTCCACGAAATGCACATTTCCGTTCCACATAATACAATTCAACGGTCCAGATTCGTTCTTATTTCTCTCCTGGGAGTTCGTTCTTACAAGAATCACTCCCTATATATATATATATATATATATATATAGGTTTTGATTCAAATAAGAACACGATCTTATGAGAGAAATGAGAACGCACCTGGACCGTTAGATGAAACTGTAATGTGCATTAGATGAAATTGAAATGTGCATCACAAAAGATACGATAGAGTGACATTATGTGCAGTTGAATTTTGCATTACGTGAAATTGAAATGTGCACTAGGTGAAGCTGAAATGTGCAGAATAAAAAGTACGATGTGATGTTGTTTTTGTACTTTTTTTCTCGCACATATCAGTTTCATCTAATGCACACTTGAGTTTAAATTTTTATTTTGCACATTTCAAAATCATTTAATGCACATTTCAGTTTCACCAAATGCACAATTTGGTTCCACATAATACAATCCAACGGTCCAGATTCATTCTCATTTTTCTCCTTAGATCTGTTCTTACCGGAACCGCTTCACACACACACACACACACATATATATATATATAGACACACACATATATACACACACACACATGACTGAAGAAGTACTATATCAAAAATCAAAATACATACGGAGTATTACATACACACACTAATGTTTTTCTCGTAATACCCATTCGTATATTAATTTTCTCGTTTTGCACTAGAACTTATATTCAAATTGGAGTTGGCTTTGTAATTCAAACAAAAAATAACTACTATTCAAATCGATTTGTAATATCCAATCTTCCTATATCATTTCAATTTTATCGGATGCCCTTGAAGTCACATTCAACATCATTTGTAACATCTCTCAAGCCAGATCAGGGTGTTAAGTTATACAAATTCAGTTCGGGTTGATGCACAAAGAAGAAACACTCTGGAGCGACTCTCATATGAAAAACTTCGGTCTCGATAAATTAGGTATATGAAAGCTCATATCAAATCATATGCCTTCTTAGGTGAAGACCAGTGGAAATGAAGTCCAAGTATGATTTTTAGTGGGCATAAATAACAGTTCATATCAAATCATAGGTCTTCTTAGGTGAAGACCAATGGAAACTAAAGTCCAAGAATCATTTGTTAGTGGACATTGACATTTGTGGCATATCTCATTTTCGGCACATCTTCCTAATTGACATTTATTGGTGGGCGTAACTCAACTGGTAGCGAGTGCCACATGGGTTAGGTCCCGAGTTCGAATACCGGCAACTGCGATGAGGAGTTACTATGCTAAAAATGCATAGGGCCTCTGCAAGTATCGAGGACAAAGCCTCACTCTCTACCTGTCAGATTGGAATTATAGTTCTATTTACATCCTCTCAACGTATCGTGCGATCGGGGTTGGGGGGGCCTCAGGGATGGGGTGTCGTTCTTTCCTAATTGACATAATGTTGCCAATATTAGCTTGACCATTCATATGGTATACTCAGAAAAAGCCCGTTGATTTCATGTACCATGAATCTCTTTTGCCCGAATATAGCCATGTTATTGTGGTTGAAATATTTTTTGTTAAAATTAAATTGTAGTGAAAGGTTTGAATTTCTAAATACGTTATTCCGAATAATCGAATATAATAATTACAATAGTGTTGTTTCGTGTGCATTTCGTATGAAAATTGACTAATTCCGGTCATTCACTACTGTTTGTCGTTTGGATGGTTTGAAGAGATTAGACACTTAGATAAAAAAAATGAAAAAACCCGCTTGTACAAACTTTTTTGTATACTTTTTTGTACACACTTCTTACAGACACCTGTGAATAAGCTATTTTTCTGTTCACAAACGTGTGTAAGAAGTGTGTACAGGAAAAGTTATTGAAAAAACACATCACACTTTTGAATAGGTGATAAACGTCCTACCATCTTTTCATTAGGGTGGAAAGTTCACAAGAAGGATTTGCCAATCTAGACATGCCTAGATGCTCCCAGCTTTGGATTCTCACCCAGAAAAACAACAAAACATGTGATGCCCATTGACTGAGTGACAACTCATTCCTCAACTTGCTCCATTTCGACCGGGAACTAATTTCCCTATTCTTGATATTATATGTTGGATCATTGTCACCATATTATTTCACCAAGCTCATATGTGTGTTCACTT